TGCCCCTCACTCCCGACCCACAGCCCCCTGCTAGCCGCCCCCTGGCCCCCCCAGCCCTGCCAGTGCCCCTCACTCCCGACCCACAGCCCCCTGCTAGCCGCCCCCTGGCCCCCCCAGCCCTGCCGGTGCCCCTCACTCCCGACCCGCAGCTCCTGCTAGCCCAGACCTGACCCCCCAGCCCTGCCAGTGCCCCTCACTCCCGACCCACAGCCCAGTGGCCCCCCCCAGATGTGTCTCCGAGCCCCTGAAGTCACTCGTGAGCTGGTGACGCACTCAGTAGGTGCCCTGGGCCCTTGGCCAGGATTCACACGGATGCTCTAATTGTGCTGATGGGGACAAGGCCTGAGGCTCTTACCCAACCTCCCTTATGAGAATAAAGGACCATCCGCCAACGTGTGTGGGGGGGGCCCTGGGAGCCAGGACTCCTGGGTTCTCTCCCTGACTCAGGGAGGGGGTGGGGTCCAGTCAGTGGTTAAAGCGGGATGGGACCCAGGTCAGGACTAGGCTCATTAGCGTCTTTTCAGTAATGGGGAAACTGAGGCATGGTGAGATGTGCCCAGCCCCCCCCCCCCCCCCCAACTATATGCAGGTAGTGCCTGGAATAGAACCCAGGCATCCGGCTGCCCCCGCCAATTTCCCCTTGAGCCCCCGCGCCCCTAGAATCCCCCCAGTTCCCCACTCCTGCCCCCCCCACCTGTGTGCTGGAGTCAATTAGAGCTAATTACACCAATTTTCAGCCCATTTTCTGACTAAGTGGAAAAGAGAAATTAGAGGCAAAATAAATGAACAAGCCCCCCCCCCGAATCCGTGGGGGGCGATTAGCTACACCCCCCCAGGCATGACGCACCCATCTGCCTGCAGCCCCTGCCCTGTATAAATCCGGTGCCTGATCCCCCAGCCACAACCAGAGCGGGGCAGAATTTGAGGTGAGATTCCCCCAGCCCCCCAGAGTCGGGCCCTGCCACAGGTCAGGACTGAGGGGCACCGGCAGGGCTGGGGGGAGCCCAGGGCTGGGCTGGCAGGGGCTGCGGGTCGGGAGTGAGGGGCACCGGCAGGGCTGGGCTAGCAGGGGCTGCGGGTCGGGAGTGAGGGGCACCGGTGGAACTGGGTTAGCAGGGAGCTGCGGGTTGGGAGTGAGGGGCACCAGCGGGGCTGGCCGGTAGCCCAGGGCTGGGCTAGCAGGGGGCTGCTAGTCGGGTTTGAGGGGCATTGGCAGAGCTGTGGGGGGCAGGGCTGGGTCAGTGGGATGGGAGGGTTTTTTTGCTGGGGGGAGGACAGAAATATCCTATGGTGCAGTGGGCTGAGGGTAAAGCCAAGTGTGTGTGTGATGAACAGCGAGTTTGGGGGGCAGAGATAGAGGGAGCCCGGACGCTTGGGTTCTATCCCAGCTCTGGGAGAGCAGTGGGGTCTAGTGGATAGAATGCGGGGGCGGGGGGCTGGGAGCCAGGACTCCTGGGTTCTCTCCCCAGCTCTGGGAGGGGAGGGGGGTCTAGTGGATAGAATGGAGGGGGGGGGGCTGGGAGCCAGGACTCCTGGGTTCTCTCTCTCTTTCACAGATGGGGACCCCTGCTGTGCTCTGCATCTCTCTGGCCCTGTGGGGCTGCTGGGCGAATGCACCGGGATCCCTCTGATGGTGAGAGGCCCCCCCCAGACCCCCCCCTCCTGCCAGCCCCTCCCCAGTGCCCCCTCCTGGCCTGTCTCCTCCATCCCCACCTATCGCCACTGAGGTGGCAGAAGCCTGGACCCCCGGAGCCCCCTGAATGGTACGATCCCCACCAGGCCTCTGCTGGGGTCCTGGGCTATCCCAGTCCGCGGGTGGGGGGAGCTCAGATTGGGGGGGGGTAGAGCTACTCGGTTAATGGGGATTTTTTCTGCAGCTCAAAGACAAACGTGGCTGGACCCTGAACAGTGCAGGCTACTTGCTGGGCCCTCGTGAGTACCCCCC